ACGTGTTCAGGCTAATGTACAGAATGGAGATTGACCTTGCCTCTGGAGGGAACTAATAACTGAGGCCTTGTCTATTTAAAATGCTTTCCTGAGCCTGACTAGAGTTTAGTCAAGCAGTTTCTAGGTAGGCAAAATCAGTTTGGTCCTTACAAAACCCAGCAGCCACTCCTCGGGAGAAAAGCTGAGGCTTTCTGTTCCCACAAAAGATTAATAGCCTCAGAAACCCTGTACAGGGTCATTCAAGAGTTGGAACAGACTGGATGGCACTTAACAACATTCTGAAGCTGTATGAAAGAAGTCACAAAAGAAGAATCAAGACTGGATGGCACTTAACAACATTCTGAAGCTGTATGAAAGAAGTCACAAAAGAAGAATCAAATGAAGCGTCAGTTCTCCAGGAGTTCCTAGCCTAGTAAGAACTATATAGACACACACACACACACACACACACACACACACACAGTGTTCAGTGTTACATAGGAAGTAGGAAATACAAAGTTGCTTCTCTGAGATGTTGTTTCTCTGAGAAGAATCTTGAGGCTGAGAAAGTTAAAGGCTAACAGAAATATATCAAGATATTTATGGGAAAGTAAGTCCAAGCAGAGGACACATCTGCAAATGTAACCAGTAGATGAGAGACTGTGGACATCATGGACTTAAGTGGAAAAACGCAGGAAGAACAAGCATGTGGTCGAGAGAAGACTGTCAGAGAGGTCTAAGTGCCAAACTCTGTGAGACTCTGAGTTATCAGGCAGAAAACATGGGATGTTTTTCCAAAAATCAAAGAAAGGCAGTGAGTAGCTGTAAAAGCACATGCTAAAAAAGGTTTCGCAAGGATAAAACAAAAAATGTTTGGAGGTAAAGAGTTCTCTCTCTGTTTTATTCAAAGTTTGACTTTAAACTATTGAAATACACTAGAACTCTAGTTTATTTAAGACATAATGTGGTATCTATTTCAAAAGTAACATTTTCCCCCTGAAATCTAAGAAAAATCTTTTGAGAATGGAAAGACGAAATGCAGTCCTTTTTCCTACCTTTTGTCTTCAAACTAGGTCAACAACAGTTCTATTTAAGATGATCCAACATGGCCCTTCTGAAAATTTCTAGTGGGAAATACAAACTTAAATACGCATGCCATTAAACATGATTTAGAATTCACTATGCCTAAAAATCATATTTTTTTACTTAACTATTCATTGTTAAGGAATCCTGGTATAGCACTGTAGGATAAGCACTGGACTGCTAACCTCAAGATCAGTGGTTCAAGCCCACCAGACATTCCTTGGAAACCCTATACAGGGTCACTATAAGTTGAAACCAACTCATCGGCCCTTAACAATAGCATCTATTGCTGAAAGCAAGCACTCATTCAGGAAGGAGAACAAGTTGTTCTATTTAATTCAAACTTTAGTTACTTAAAAATCTAGGGTTCTCAAGCAGACATGTGGTCTGGCTGGTGACCACGTTGGTCTACCGACAAGGGGAAGTAGGGGAGAAACAGCAACGAAGTTGTGAGTTAAGTCCAACCACGTTCAACAGACACCTGTTAGTTTGAGATTGAGACCTGGTTGTCCAGCAGTACGGACTCCTAGGCTCAGGGACAGGGAGGGACATGGCCACAGAGGACTAGTGGGGAGAGTGAAGCGTCCAGCTGATATGAAGTGGGTGGGGGGGATGTACAAGAACACCCATACTTGCAGATAGTACCTATTTGACCTGGCTTCAATGGCTGGATGATCAGAACTTGACTAGAGGAAGAAAGAAGAGGAAAAAAATGAGTAATTTGCTACCATTTGATGAACTTAACCTATACTTAAATTAGATGTAGTAGCTCAAAAGAGGGAACAAATCTTTACAGCGAGGATCATTCCCACCCCTTTGGAGCACAGGGTTGACAGGGATGGGCAACTCAGACACTTGCTACCCAAAATGGGGGAGCTACAAAGGCACAAAGTGACTGGCTTACAAGCTTTCAAGAGGGAACCTAGTTTCAGAGGGTGCAGGGGAAGGTAGAATCTCTTCTGAGTGGTTTCCAACCTGTCTGGGCCAGGTTGGTGAAAGGAGATGGAATAAGACTCTTACAGTTCAATAGTGAACAATCGCTGTCAGAGCTGATTGTAAGTATTACAAATGTAAAGGTAGACATTTTGTAGCAAAAGGAGGGGAGGGATTGATCTTTCAGTCTAGGAGCAGAGGACCCTGGGACCATCAAGGGAGAAGAGCAGAGTGGGGGACCCATCCAGTGAAGCAGTGATGCCAGAGATGGAGGCAGAGATGATGACATGGAGAGAGGCAGTAGCTGGGGACTCTGGGGAGGGAGTAGCGTTGTGTGCTGTCGGCCAGGAGGCAGGCTTGCGAGGTATACCCTTTGTTTGTGTGAATGGCTATATATTACTGTGTGTTTCGGTGTACATCCAAAATAAATAAATAAACAGTGGGGATGGAAGCAAATGCTGGTGAGTGATGACTCATGGAGGGAATTATAATCATCGCAATGAAACAAAATACGCTAGGATGAATGTAAAGCTGATGTTCTCCCATGTAAAGTAAACTATCATTCAATTCACAATAAAAACTAAAAAAAAAAAAAATTCTAGGGTTCTTTATAGGGTGAGCTGAGTCACAGGGTGCATAACCAAACCAAAATAATCAGTCATGATTTTGGGCGGGGGGGGGGGGAGGGGATGTTGTGTGTGGGGGCTCACAGAAAAATGACACCTCTTTCCCACCCAGACCACCAGATTTCTCTTTAAACCCTGTCCTCTTCCTCATCTAATCTGCAATAACAGAAGTGAATTTATGCTTTTGTTACACAATCAGCCTGGACCTGACATCCCTGCTTTATTTCTATGCCCCCTGAACATGTTTCACTCATCCTAGAAAGCTTTCTGACATGATAGAGCAGCTGATGGCACATTGCAAAGCAGTTCTCTGCCTAGAGCATGTGAAAAAACAGATCACCTTTCAAATACCAACACTGGGAGCAGGCTTATTCCCACGTGCTTCTCTGTCAGGCAAGATACACACACTGTGCAGATCACATGGCAGTTCACATGAAACTTTAATTGTTAGCAGCACATAAACTCTATTATTTCTGTCTCAGGGGCTATACCTCAAATACAGTGGTGGTTTGGGATCTTCAAAAGCATTCTCTCAGATTTAGTGCAGTAATTTTCTCTTGTAAAATCATTCTGTTCAGAAGAGTAAACACTTTCTACTTTATTATTGTTTTTAAGCAACATTAAAATTCAAATAAGTGATGAATAATTCTTACAATCCCTGCGAAGTGGTGCATAAGACTGAGAAACATCAGAGATACTTGCTAGAGATGACAGTATCAGAAATTTAAATGATCCAATCCACTCAATGGCATTTAATAACAATCAGTATCTAATCCTGATTCTTAATTTCCTCTCAAGTGCTCTTGACAATGGATCAGCAAGTGTTGTGTTGTTGTTGTTGTTGTCAAGTGCCATTGAGTTGGTTCTGACTCATAGTGACCTTGTACAGGGTTTCTGAGAAGCAGCTGGTGAGCTTAAACCGCCGACCTTGCAGTCCAGTGCATTAACCCACAGTGCCACAAGTTGTAGCAACCAAAATTGGGCTATGAGTAATTATATACAGTTGGTCTATAAATGATTCAGGTAGTGCCACCTCTTCCTATGACCTGTTACGCTATGACCCAAAAGGGGTGACTACTAACCACAGCCGGGAGACTAAGGTTAAATGGGAGGAGTATTTCACAGAAACTGGGGCAGGGAGGCAAGGTGGAAGGAAAAGAAGGCATAGGAAAAAACAAAAACAACCCAGCTAATGAATACTCACTCTGTGTCTACTAGGAAAAAGAATGGTAAACTTTAGATTTCACCCTTTGTTAAGTTCCAGGAAAAAGTTGCTGAATCTTGTTTATTCTGGTTTTGTGGTAGCACCCTGGGATGAATTCCTTTTTCCAGTTTATATAATGCTTTTCTTCTGCAACGGGAAAGTGTTGGGATTGACCAGACACTTTAGCGTTAAACACATATCTAAAGAACACTATGAACTTTTGAAGTACTTTTAAGTCCCACTCTAGGAAAAATCAATCATCAAGAAGTTCTTATTCATCGACTATGTGTTCTCAATTACCCTGAACGTCACAGAAGCACTGTAGCATTCAAAAATCTCACCATCTCCTTGAGGAGCGAAACTAACAACGGTGAAGCAACAACGAACAATACAGAAAAAAACTGTAATTAAGCGACAATTATATGATACCATCTAAGTATCTGTTTTTAACCCAGGAGGTGGTGCCTAAAGGGGGGGCAGCAGCATATCCTTGGGACCCACCCAAGTGAAAATCAAGAAAAAATAAGACGAAGGAATTTTTTTTGTGTGTGTCCCTGTACTGTCCTTATTTGACTGGGCATATTCACCCTGTGAAAGGTAAGCAAAGTACTGGGGGAAAGAGGTGCTTTCAGAAAAAGTGGTTATGCTGCATCGGTTTGCACTTCTAAAATCAAACTATACTCCTCCACTTCCAACAGCTGCTAACTGCTGGACCAGTTTGGGTAGTCAGGCCCGGCCCCATTACAGCATCCTCGGTAAATGGCCGAAGTCCCACGTGCATCGGCGCTCCAGACCCTCTAAATCCATTGGACAGCAGGGAAATGTGAATTGATGCCGTGCAGGGCGCAGACCCGCTTGCCAATTGCGAGAAGTCAGAAAGTCTGTCCAGAATGGTTCCAGCTACTCGGACGCCCTTCTCGTTGCCGGTGCGTTAGCTAACCGCACCCCCTCCCCGCACACATCAAATGCGCTCGTCTATCCCCCCGCCGCCCGGCCGCCCAGCCTCCGGCCCCGCGGTGGACGCGGCGCGTACCTCCCTCTTGGTGAGGTTCTTGTCCGGCCCTAGCAGGTAGGGGGTCAGGAAGGGCTCGGACGGCCTGAGGCTGGCGAAGAAGCCGTAGGCGCAGAGGAGCGCGGTGGGCAAGAACCAGCACTCCCGAGGGACCCGAGCCGTGCGCAGAAGCATGGTGGCCGCCGCCGCCGCCGCCCGCCGGGACACCGGGCCCGTCACATCCATACGGGGAGCGAGGGGCGGGGACCTAACCCGGCCCCTTCCTTCTCCTCCCCTTTTTCCTCCTCCTCTAGAATGAGGTTTAACTGCCGACTCCACACGGGCACCAGTAAGTGAGAATGGCGCCTCCTACCGGCAGGGCCAGGCCGTCCAGGACACCACCCCCCGCCTCTCGCCGCAGCTCCCAGGGCCTTTCCCTGCAGAGGCTTCCTCACGTGTCACCGCCCAGACGCACGGCCTAAAACTAGACACACCCAAGGCCCGCCCTCCACCTCCAAGCTTCAGCCTAGTAGCCAGTCACAGCGGACGCTAGCATAATACCTGCTTTCCCATTGGTCAGTGGCTCTACGCCTCTCAGAAGATACGGACTGGCCGTCTGGGAATACCGGGCTGCTGACGTCCTCTGGCTGTGGCACGAAGGGCGTCGGAGACTCCTGCCTGAACGCAGATGCTTGTTCCTTGACACGCGCTTGTCCCACACACGGTCACTGCTGCAGCTCACCTGTCCAGAATGTTCCGTTGGGCTTAACCTCCCACTGAAAGGAATGTGTCGTTCCATGCAGTCACCCTCTCTAATTCTTAATCACCATTCCTGGGATTTCTACGTCGTTTTCGGAGAGATTTGGAGACCAAGGGCGGTCAGAAATTTAACCTTGGGGCAGAGGAATGAATTCTTTAGCAGCTTTCTTGTTTTAACTTGTAATTTCATCTCCGATAGAAAGACACTACAAGCTCAGAATCTAACAGCTCAGGGCGCTTACGAAGAGGCTGAATCAAAGGAAGTAGAAAAAAACAGCGTGAGAAGAATGAGCAAGCTAGTCACTTAAAAAGACTGATGTAGTCCCAACTAAAGGGTTTTCTTGCACTTGTGCTCTCCCCCTCCGCCCTTCCCCATAGGATACAAAAAGCAATTAAACACGTCGCCGTACAGTATGATCTGTCGTTGAAAAGCAAGTGGGAAGACCCTGCGCCATTAAAGTAGGTTATCACGAAACAAGATCAACCTCTGCATTAGAGAGAATGCAGGTCTTGGCATACTTTTCAAGGGCAAAGTATGACAAGGATTCCTTAGGGCTTCCTTTCCTCTCCCTTTGTGTGCCTCTTCCTGCCTCACTCGCAGCTCAGTTCTGTCCCAGTTCTTCCATTGCAGACATAGCTGCACCGTTTAAACCAACTTTCCCTGTGGTGTTTGTAGATCTTGCCAAAAGCTCACAGGGAATCTCTTTGAACTCTCCATTTCCTTTAATGTATGTTATGCATCTAGCTCAATTTTTCTCCTGCGGCAGCAAGTGATATATCAGTAACAAAAATATGAATCCTCCAGGTGGAACAGATATTACAGTAAAAGAAAAAAAAGACATGTTTCTAAGGCTGCACAAGCGAATGCACCAGTATATATGAGCTGATCAATGTCTGAAGAAAATCAGTTGGTGGTATTTACATCTCTCCAAAACAAACAAAAAAACCCAAGCCTGGATAGAGTTTCCAAGGTTGTAATATTTGCATTAGGAAACAGACCACCACGTTCTTCTAGCGCCTCGTTCAATCACTGAAGTCTCATGTTAGCAGCTGAGCACTTAAATCACTGTGCCATCTATCAATAGGGATCAAAGTGTGGTAGGTAAGCCCTGGAGATCCTCAGGACCTTTGCAGAGGTTCCATGAGATCAAAACAACTTTCATAATAAGACTAAGACCTTATTTCCTTTTTAATTCTAGAGGCTATATGATGTGTGATGACATCACTCTGAGATGAGACTGTGCTTGTATATATAGTCTTATGTTTAATAAGTTTTTCTGGTGTAATTTCTAATATGAATAAATATCAATAGGTATGAAGTATAAACCAAAAACTCTTAAGGGTCCTCAATAACAGGAGTCTTGAGGCAAAAATGAGAACTGCTAATTCACATAATGGAGTCCTAGTGTGGCGCTGTAGCATAAGCACTGAACTGCTAACCACAGGGTCGGTGGTTCAAACCCACTAGCTGCTCCTCAGAAACCTTATACAGGGTCCCTATGAGTTGGAACCAACTCCACAGCAGTTAGCAACAACAATGAGTGTGAAGTGGTGTGTCATTGTAGTTTTGATTTACATTTCATTAATGACTAACATTGGTGGCTCAAATCTACTCAGAGACACTTCGGAAAAAGACCTAGTGATCTATTTCTAAAAGGTCACACAGCCTTGAAAACCCTATGGAGCAGTTGTATGCTGTACGCATCAGGCCAAGGTGAGTTGGATTTGACTCTACTGGCAACTGATTGGAACAGCTAAAAAGGCGTTCCTTTGTGGTGCAATTAGTTAAGTGATCAATTACTAACCTAAAGGTTGCTTGTTTCAATCCATCCAATGATGCCTTGGAAGAAAGGCCTGGCAACTTGCTTCTAAAAGATTGTTGTTGTTAGGTACCATTGAGTCAGTTACAATTCATACAGGCCCTATGAACAACAGAATGAAAAACAATCCACCTTAAGAATCCTATGGCGTTTACTTCTACTCTGCTCACATGGGATCAGCATAAGTCAGAATCAACTAGATGGTAATAGACAGAATGACAAATGTTGAGCTCTTTTCATGTGCTTGTTAGCCATTCATGTATCTTTTTGTCTATTCAAGTCCTTTGCCCATCCAATTCTTAATTAGGCAGTTTGTCTTTTTGTTGTCGAGTTCTGAGTCCTTTATATATTTTAGATTCTGGTGAGGAGCTGTAGGATCAGTACTGGACTGTGAACCACAAGGTTGGCAGTTCAAACCCACCAGCTGCTCCTTGGAAACCGTATGCAGGGTCACCATGAGCCAGAAGTGACTTGATGGCATTTCACAACAACACATCACAAATATATGACCTACAGATATATTCTCCAGGAGTTAAATAGAATATTGAAGGATAATTTTCTCTACTTATATAAAGAATGTAGGAGTTTGGATGTGTGTTTTGTAAAATATAGCCTACTGTACACTGTAGGATCAGCACTGGACTATGAACCACAAGGTCAGAGTTCAAACCCACCACCTGCTCCTCGGAAACACTTATATAGGGTCACTACAAGTTGGAACCGACTCGATGGCATTTAACAACAAAACAATACACTCTTCTGGATATTTCTTTTCTCAGAAATAATTCATGGAGAACATTCTATGTAACAAGATATGTTGTTCTTGTTGAAAGGTGCTGTCAAGTCCGTTCTGACTCATAGTGACCCTATGTGTAACGGAATGAAGCACTGCCCAATACTATACCATCTTCCAAATCCTTGGTATTTTAAACCCACTGTTGCAGCCACTATGTCAATCTATCTCATTAAAGGTCTTCTTTTTTGCTGACCCTCTATTTTTCCAAACATGATGACCTTCTCCAGCAATTGATCCCTCTGATAATATGTCCAAAGTAAGTGAGAAAAAGGCTTGACATCCTTACTTCTAAGAAGCATTCTGGCTATACTTTTTCTAAGACAGATTTGTTTATTCTGGAAGTCCGTGGTGTAGTTAATATTCTTCACCAAAACCATAATTCAAAGGCATCAAGTCTTCATTGGGCTTCCTTATCCACTGCCCACCTTTTGCATACATAATGAAGTGAATGAAAATATGATTTAGGTCAGGCATACCTTAATTCTCAAGGTGGCATGTTTGCTTTTTAACACTTTAAGAGGTCTTTTGCAGCAGATCTGCCCAGTGCAATCTATCATTTTATTTCTTGACTGCTGCTTCCATGGACATTGATTGTGAATCCAAATAAAATCAGATTCTTGACAACTTCAATCTTTTCTCAGTTTGTTCTGATGCTGCTTATTGGCCCAATTGTGAGGGGTTTTGTTTTCTAAAATTGAGGTGTAATTCATACAGAAGTCTAATCTTTGATCTTCATCAGTAAGTGCTTCAAGTTCTCTTCACTTTTAGAAAACAAGGTTGTATCTTCTGCATATTGCAAGTTGTTAATGAGTCTTCCTCCAATCCTGATACCACATTCTTTTTCATATAGTCCAACTTCTCAGATTATTTGCTCAGCAGACAGATTGAATAAGTATGGTAAAAGGGTACAACCCTGAAACATACCTTTCTTGATTTTAAACCATGCAATTTCCTCATTTTCTGTTCAGATGACTGAATGCATCTTAAGTCTATGCACAGTTCTGCATGAGCATAATTAAATGTTCTAGAACTTCCATTCTTCACAATATTATTCATAATTGTTAGGATCTACACAGATAAACACCTCTGCATAGTCAATGGTATTTATTATTTCTAATATTTATATAACATCCCATGTTGGGGTGGCATAACCTATTCAATCATTTCCTATTTATGGTCATGCTAAGCTAAAGTAAACATGCGTGTACAATATATCTGTATCTATTGTTTATTTCATGTGTGCAGAATGAGATTTAGCCCAAGGAGTGAGATTGCTAGGCCAAATAATGTATACATTTTAAAAACATAGGTGTTGCTCAGTTGTTTTTTTACAAAAGCAAGAATCATTTCCATTTTTATTGCCAGAATATGAGAGTATTCTTTTAGTACTGCAGCCCTGCCAACAAGACGTTAAATCTGGCTTTTGAAGTTTTGCTAGTCTTATAGGTGTTAGTGAGAGGTTCTCAGCTTGTGGAAGTCTTGCCCCTGAGAGGACCTTTAGCAAGTCTGGAGATATTTTTTGATTATCATGGATTGGTGTGTATGTGTGTGCTACTTGCCTCTTGTAGGCAGAGCCAGAGATTCTAAATATGCCCACTCCTTACTTATGGTCATGGTTAGATCTCAAAGACCAGGTCATTATGCAAAATTCAGTGTTAGGTGAAAAAAGAGGATGATCACATCAGTTCACAAAATATAGGATGACTACATCATAACATAAGGAGCTCTGGTAGCCTAGTGGTTAAGAATTGGGCTGCTAACCTCAAGGTTGGCAGTTTGAAACTACCTGTTGTTCCACGGGAGAAAGATGAGGCTTTCTGCTCCTGTAAAGATTCACAGCCTCGGAAACCCTGTGTAGGGTCACTATGAGTCAGAGTACTTAACAACAACACATCTTTACATAACTTTCAAATCACTAAAAAGCATGGCCCAGTCAAGTTAACACATGACCTTCCACCATCACTGCCACTGTTACTATTGCCTTTCCTTGGTATTCATTGCTGCCAGGTGTATGTTGTTAATTCACAAAATAGTTGGATCGTAGATCTTTTACTATTGTCATAAATGCAAAC